CAATTCACAGAACTAAGCAAATGTGGTGCTATGCTCTTGAATTTCCAGAACTGTAAGCTAAATAACCTTTTTAAAGGAACTCAGCCTCAAGTATTTTCTTATAGCAACACAAAATGGACTAGCCCTAAGTGAATACATCTATTGTCTCTAAAAGCAATTCCAGATTGATTTATTATGGAGAGATTTCTCCTATGAGAATTTTGGGGTCTGACACCTTGTGGGTGAAAGATCAAGTCAAAGGATGTAAGTGGCTGCCCTGAGCCAGGTTGTACGCTTAAAGCTCAGGGATTCAAAGGATAAGCACAGTAGAAACTGTACTTTTAAGTCTACAAAGTTCTGGTCCTTACATTTTCCAGGTCAAATACATTTCACAAACTTCACCAATTCATTTAGCACATACCCAAGAACTAGGTGCGCCATGTTTCTCATCAAAGATGGACATGACCAGGTTTTTATACTTAGGTTACTCCCAATTCCGTAGGGGAGTTGGACACACACTTGCCAAGAAGACCAGGTAAAACACTGTATATGGCATTAAAAGGTATAGACAGGTTGAGGGGAGAGCATAACAGAAGGGAGGCCCAAAGACTTGCATACCTGGGTGTCATTATACACATTCACAACGTTGACTGGCCTGTGGGTATCACACACAAAGAATATAGTATCTTCATCAGGTTGAAGAATGTCCAATAGGTCTACATTAGCTCCACAGTTTATGAGAATAAAATAACGAAACTGAAAAAAGAAGTGAGACATTATAAAGTAACTTCACTTTACCACATTAGAACTCTACATCCTTTTGCTGAGATACATTAAATCCCTGATATGTGGCAAGGTCCAGAGGGAATGGCAAAGGGCTTGAGAAGTGGCCAAGGCTGGCTTATGCCAAGTGCTTTAACATACACAATAGGTTCTTCTTTTCTAAAATAATACTGTGAAGTAAGCTTTGGGGCAAGTCCACTTTCTTAGGAACACACTGAGGCTCAGCAAACCCAAGTCTCAGGCACATGGTCAAGAAGTTAATAAGAATCTGGGCATGGTGGCACATCCCTGTAATCCCAGTTATGTGGAAGGCTAAGTTAGGAAAATCTCGAGTTAGAGGCCAGCCTGGACAACTTAGCCAGACCCTAACTCAAAATAAAATTTAAAAAGGGCTGGGGATGAATCTCAGTGGTAGAGTGCTTGTGTAGCATGTAGGAGGCCCTAAGTTCAATCCCCAATATTGCGAAAAAAGAAGCTAATGAAGGGAATCTAAGACATAAAATGTGTAATGTGGTTTCTCCAGATCTTATTGTATGGTATTGCACCAACTCTCTGTGTTAAGAGAGTTGCATGGGTTTAAGTTTTTGGCAAATCTCAGATAGCACATAATTTTCAGGGCATGTAAGTATTAAGTTGTGCTGTATAACTATAGCAAAACCTTTCCTTGTGGATACCCACTGGTACAGTCTCTTATGACTGAAACTCAAAGAGATTATTTATCCCTGCCACAACAAGTCTTAGCATTATCCAGGGACTCCATGTACACTCTTCCATGCCCTCCCTATGGGCCCCACAATGTCCCATCTTTGCCCCATGCAGAGGTAAGAGTCAGCCTAGTTTCTATGCTGAAAATCCTAAGGGAGAACATATCCTAGATTTAAAACTAGAAACTGGAATGCATTTTCTTGGAGAGATAATATATGATAGTTGTGTATTCTAAAATAATTTTAGCCAGGCATGGTGGCACATGACTGTAATCCCAGTGACTTGGAAGGCTGAGGCAGGATTACAAGTTCAAGGTCAGCCTCAGCAATTTAGCAAGGCCATAAACAACTTAACAAGATCCAATCTCAAGATAAAAATTAAAAAGGGCTGTGGCTAAGACTGGGGTTGTGGGTCAGTGGTAGAGTGCTTGCCTAGCACATGTGAGGCTCTGAATTGGATCCTCAGCACTATGTTAAAAAACAAAAACAAAAACTAAACACTGTTAAGTAAAAAAGGCTGGGGATGTGGCTCAGTGGATAAACCATCTCTGGGTTCAATTGCCACTACCAAAATAATAATAATTTTAGTGAGGCTAAACTGCTAAATTCCAAACAAAGGTGACTCTAAGAAGAGTCAGATTTCTGCAAAATAAGTTCAAAGTTATATGCTGTCCATGTTCACTATCTTTTTTGGTTAATTCTGTCTTTACCGCTTGAGAGTAAGTCACCAGTATACATAGCATGCTTTTCTCTTCCACATTGCCTATTAAAGTTGATACTTAAATATAAACGTACTGGGAAATTACAAAGACAGCTAAGTATTAGGAATTGGAACTGAGTACAAAAAGCTTATTTATTCTAAAACATATCTTTCATACCTGTTCCTTATGTTCAAGAAATGCAGTTTCAAGTTCTTGCCACCCAGAGACTGGAACCAGTGTATACTGCACGTGGTCACACTGAAACAGGGCCTGAGAGAGAGTTTTTTCAAAGATTATCTTATTTAGGATGTATAGAATTTACCTTGAAATGCCCTAGAAAAAACTAGCTGGGTTGAGACACAAAAAATATGGGATAAGCTAATATTGGTAAAACACTAAGGAAAGAAGCCAGGTGGTAGGGATGTGACTGTTAAATGTATAGATCTGTCATTTTGTTGAATTTGTCAAATTACCAAAGAAAAACACTGTGAGAAAATCTGATTTTACTTCCAGGTATTCTGAAAAATTCCTGACCCAGGCTCAATGTAAAAAGTGTACCATATATTGTGACCACTCTGGAAAGCCATATGGAGATTCCCCAGAAAACCTGGAATGAAACCACCAATTGACCCAGTTATACTCAAAGGACTTAAAATCAGAATACTATAGTGAAAGGACCACATCAAAGTTTATAGCAGCTCAATTCACAATAGCTAAGCTATGAAACCAAAGTGGGTGCCCTTTAACAGATGAATGGATAAAGAAAATGTAGTACATGTACACAATGGAATATTACTCAGCCATAAAGAAGAATGAAATTATGGCATTTGCTGATAAATGGATGGAACTGGAGACTATCATGCTTAAGTGAAATAAGCCAATCCCCAAAAACCAAAGGCCAAATGTTTTCTCTATGCAGATGCTAATATACAATAAGGAGGTGAAGGGAAGAACAGAAGTTCATTGGATTAGACAAAGTGGATTGAAGGGAAAGGAGAGGAGATGGGAAGAGAAAAGACAGTAGAATTAATTGGACATAACTTTCTTATGTTCATACATGTTCATACATGACCAGTGTAACTCCACATCATGTACACCACAAGAATGAGAACCTAATTAGAATAAGTTATACTCTATATATCTATAATGCATCAAAATGCACTCTTATGTATATCCCAAAAGAATAAAAAATAATAATAAAGGCAGAAAAAGTGAACCATATCAAAAATCAAATTAATAATCTTCCGTAATAGACTATGGACTCCTGTGTTTCTAATACTGATTATGACAACATTATACTCTCTGTTGTCACCGATTCATCTCTCTCTCAAACCCCACATTTGACAGGCCACTACAGGTTCAAAGGTCTCCCAAATTAAATCTTTTTTTTTTTCCGCCTGGGTTGTTATAAAAAGATACTAATAAGTATTTTTACGTAATCTTTCTCTGACCTCCAAGACTGTCTATACAAGGAGGTGACCTCTTAGTCGCCCTTCTCTCACCTGCTCCTCACCTCCCGCCCTGCTCCTTCCCATCCTAGGCCTGCCTTACACCTCATCTTCTGCTCCTGCCCAGAAGTCCCTCACCTCTAGCCTCGCTCGCCCTCCTTTGGTCCGCAAAGCTCACCTGAAGTATCTTGCAGGCGCACAGAGCGTCCACGTCCGAGGCCACGAAGAGAAGGACCCTCTGTTTGGACAAGAGCGGGTGGATTGAGTACGGTAACCCGAACCCCGGCTACTCCCAGCCCTCTTGGCCTGGCCCACCCATGGCCTCACGTCCTCACTCCTTCTTCCCCACCCAAGGCCTTAGCGAGGGTCCTGGACTGGGAGTCACCTGGCTCTGAACCAGCTCGTAAAACTCCTTGCGGAAATCGGACACGAACATAGCAGCGGCGGCCCAACACCCTCGGCTGGGGCTGAGACACCAAGAGCCCCGGAGGCGGTCAAGACTCCCGCCAAATCACAGCCCTTCCGATTGGCCCAGGTAACCAACCAATAGGTTGTTTGTTTCCTCGCCTTTCCTCTTTTATGATTGGGCCATTTTGGGGAAAGGCAATCGCCTTCCGCCATTCGAGGCTGGAAAAGTACCCCATCCCCGCCCACCCAGCCGGCGAAGAAGCCTCATTTCTGAGGTAGGACGTAAACAGGATTGCCCACTTCAACTCTGACTCCCATTTACCCAGAAACCCCCACGTTTGGCGGACATCTTTACTTTGGGAAGAGAAGCCTACCGCCTCACGCTGGGAACCTCAGGAAAATATACTTCAATCCATAAATTAAACTAAATTATATACCAATTGAGAAGGCAGTTAGGTTTTCAATGGACTCCTGGTCCAGTTTGAAGGTGGTGTAGCTTACTTCCGCCCGATTCCACGATGGCTGAAGCAAAGGCCCGATCGTTCTAGATGCATTCTGGGTAGCGTAGTCAGCAAGCAGAATGGGCCCTACCAAATTCTTTTGTAGGGGAGTACTATCAAAACATAATTTTAAATAACTCTAAAGTCGCCTTTATATGAGGTAATAAGTTATTAAGAGGAATTTTCTTATATATGCTGTATAATCTTTACGTTCTGTATCCTTCGCCTGGTTTTTCGTTTTTGCAACCGACGCCCGGGCTCGACACCCACTCCAGGTCCTCCGGACAGGCACTTCCGGTGAGCCTCCGGGGGTGTCTGGGTTTCAGTAAGGCGGCGGCGGCGGCGGCTTCTATAAAGAAGAGTTTTCCGAGTCCTGTGGTTCTAACGTTTTCTGAGAAAAGCGGCGTCTACGAAGGGTTTACATCATGGTAAGCGAGGCTGGGTAGGTGTCAGGGAGCTGGACTGAGGACAGGGCTCAAATCAGGGCCCAGCAGAGATGGACAGAACGAAGGCGGAGATGCCGAGTCACCCGGGCCTGAGGCCGGCGGGTCTGCCAGTCCCGGACACTTCTGGAACGAGCTGGACCCTTAACTACGAATGCCCCTGTTCATCTGCGCTTGCCTGGGGCATGGTTTGCGTTCCCTCTCAGCTGGACTTGAGGTCCTCGAAGGTAGAAAGTTACATTCTATCTTTGTGTCCACTCGTGAGTCTCGCAAATGCTCGTCGTGCTACAGGTTTCCATTAAGTCAAAGTTAATTGGGAATGTTGTTGGGGGTGGAGGCAGAAGCGGGCGCTCCCCACGGAGAATCTTTAGGGAGCATCCCCCTAGACGGGAACCTACAGCTTTTTGCCCTTGGAGGGTGAGCTGTAAGCATGTGCTTCACGCCCTCGTATATACACAGTCGTGTTGTGTTCGGTGATAATAACGAACGATAGTAGGCAATGTTTTTTTGGGCGCTTTTTCTGTTACACGGTTTTTCTTTAATGTCCTTATTCTTTCATCACATTTTATCCCTTTTATTGTATACAATCCCCCTGGAGGCAAAAATGGTATCATTTTAACCCGGTGAAAACTAAGATTTACAGAGATGGTTTACTCAAGGTCACGTAAGTGAGGAGTGGAGATTTGAAACCAAGTCCATCTGGCTGAAAAACTGGCTCATAACCTTTGTATATAGATAGCGTTGCCTAGCAGTTGCTTCTTTTTCTTAAAAGCAAGGAATGATTATTAGATTTTCTCCCAAATGTTTTACTGTGAAATTATATTTTTGTTTTCAAGTTCCTCCATGTAACATTGAATACCTGATATGTGCCAAGCAATGTGCTGTGCATCAGAATTATATTATAAAGGAAAGTAAACTTTGGAGTCAGAAGCAGCAGGAGGAGCAGAAAGTCAGGTTTGTGGGGGAATAAATTGGAGGCAGGTTATTAAAGTCAGGTATCCTTTGCATGGTTTCCCCTTTTAGGTTGCAAAGGGAAGAAATGATTTAGATGTGGTAGCCAAAGTGAGAGATGCTTTAAGGAGCTCCTCACTCCTCTGGCTCTAATCATATTTTTTCCATTATAACTTTTAATTTTGTTTGTTTATTTTTTGAGTCAGGGTCTTGCTAAGTTGCCTAGGCTAGACTGGAACTTGTGATCTTCTTGCCTCAGGCTCCAAGTAGCTCTGATTACTGGAGTGTACCACTGTGACCTACCCCAAACAATTTTTACCCTGTGAAAGTGAAACTCTCCAGTTAAGTGATAATGCTTCATTTTTCCCTCCTTACAGTCCCTGGCAATCACAATTCCATTTTTTGTCTTTGACTTTGATTGTTATAGGTACCTCATATAAGTGGAATCATATGGTGTAAGTTCTTTTATGATTTATTTTACTTGAGGACATAATGCCCTCAAGGTTCATCTGTGTTGTAGCATGTGCCAGTTTTTTTTTTTTTTTTTTTTTTTAAGGCTGAATAACATTCATTATATGTGTATACCACATTTTGTTTATTTATCTGTTAGTTGGCATCTAGGTTGCTTCCACCTTTTGGCTAAGATCTCACTTTGATTTCTTTTTTTTTTTAAATATTTATTTTTTTAGTTTTAGGTGGACACAGTATCTTTATTTTATTTTTATGTGGTGTTGAGGATGGAACCCAGCGCCCTGTGCATGCCAGGCAAGCTTGCTCCACTTGAGCCACACCTCCAGCCCCATCACTTTTGATTTCTTTTGGATATCTACCCTATTAGGAGATTTGTACCTTCCTCCTCCTCCTCCTCCTCCTCCTCCTCCTCCACCACCACCACCACCACCACCACCACCACATTTTTAGTTGTAGATGAACTTTTTTTTGTTTATTTATTTTTTTATGTGGTGGTGAGGATTAAACCCAGTGCCTCATACATGCAAGGCAAGTGCTCTACCACTGAGCCACAATCCCAGCCCTACATTCTCTTCTTAAACATCATAATAATTGCAATACTTTGAGAAGATCCCAAATTGATGTTGCTAAACTTTGTCTTTGGATCTTACTTTCTGTTGTCACCATGTCTTCATTTTGCTTGTTGATGAGGGGCGGGGCGGGGGGGGGGCGGGTGCACGGCCCCACTGCACACCTGGAGGGACCACTGGCCTCCACCCCCGGTGGTGGCCTGCTTGTTGATATAAGAAAGCACTATAATGTGTACCTACTCTGCTAATGAGAGCACACTGGAGGGGTACTTATCCCTTGACTGGCAGAGGAAAGGAGGCTTCCTGGAGAAAGGAATGGATGGTAATTAGAAGCCAGGGGAAGGAATACAAATAACTTGAACCTGACCTTCTTGCTGCCTGGATGCCTTTCCTGTTTCCTGCCTTGTTCCTTCTCATGACATGTTGGACTTTCTGAAGGGAGGTCTTTCCTGACTACCTGTTTAAAACACCATGCCTAGGAGTTCTCTGTCCCCTTATCCTTCTTTTTGTATTTAAGCTATCTGACACATATGTTTTCTTTTGCATGTCTCTTTTGTCTTTAGCATCAGATCCACCAAGGCAGATCTGTTTTGTCAGTTACCATCACTATAGTGGTATTTCTGTAATGCCTAAATCAGAACCAGACACAGATTACTTAGTAAGAGATGTTTTTCAATTAATAAATGACTTTTAAATTAATAATAATAGAGAAGAAGTTCTAGGTGGAAGAAATTGCCAGGGAGGAACATGACAGGTTAAGAGACTGGGTCTGTCAGTAACAAGTGTCTGTGAGATGTACAGGAGGTTCAGCCTTGATTCTACTGATAGTTGGGGGGAGGGGGAGAGAGCATCTCTGAAAAATGTTAAGGACATTCTTGGGATTGGCCTGTTTCATATATTAGTAAGATTACACTGCCCAAAAATGGTGGAAGCTAGATCTGAGAGTGAGACTGGGTGAAGCAGAAAGAATTTGTTCATTTTGCTGCTCAGGAAATCAGAATATTCTGGGTAATGAAGTAAGAACACAAGAACACATTGTGTTCTTCATTTCCTCAGCCATGTTTATTAGTGTTAATCACCACAATGTGCTGGGCACAGTAGAGCAGGCCTGTAATCCCAACTGCAGAGGAGGCTGAAATAGGAAGACCACAAGTTCAAGGCCAGCCTGAGCAATTTAGTGAGACCCTGTCTCAAAATAGATTCTAAAAAGAAATAGGATGGTGGTTGATGCTAGAGCACTTGCCTACCATTAACAAGACCTTGGGTTCAATCCTCAGTGCACACACAGACATATACATATATACATATACAAAAGATGATTTTTGTTGTAACATTCCTTTAAGCTGGAGTGAGGGGTGTGTGTGCCTGTAGTTGCTGCTACTCAGAATACCAAGGCAAAGGATTTTTTAAGCCCAGGAGTTTGAGACCAGCCTGAGCAACACAGTGAGACCTCTGTCTCAGGAAAGAAAAGAACCTTTTGTTCTAATATCTCTGTTCTAATACCAGCATCTCTCTCTCTCTCTTTTAGTTCTCTTTCAACATGTTCGACCACCCGATTCCCCGGGTCTTCCAGAACCGCTTCTCCACACAATACCGCTGCTTCTCCGTGTCCATGCTAGCCGGGCCTAATGACAGGTCAGATGTGGAGAAAGGAGGGAAGAGTATGTGCTTGTTTTTATTTTGAATAGTAACCTTTCTTGCCCTATGTCTGCGAAGCTTATAGCCTTCCCCAACCCTTAACTTTGCATGCGGGCACCAGAATCTAAAGTTAAAGTGTGTCTTGTCTCAGATTTGCTAAGTGGGTGTGGGTGGTAGGAGTAGGGTGCTAATTATGATTAGATTAATGTCCAGGAGCCTTTTATTCCTCCCAAGTAAAATTACATTAAGATTTTTTTTGAAAGATCATTGTGAAATTTTAGCTACCTTAAAATACTGTTTAAAACTTTTAAAAAAATATAATAAGAATCGCATCTTGCCTTTTATCTATTCTTTTTATTTTTATTTTCTCAATGTTTTTAAATATTTTTTCCACAGTAATTATGCCACCCTCAGCCCTCGATCAACTCAGTAAGTATTTCAACTCAGTAAGTATTTTCTAAGTTACTCAAAAACTTAAGTAATATAAATACGAATGACAGAAATCAGTCTAGGCTCTTTAGTGCATCCAAATGCTGATGACCATTACAACATCTGGTTAGGAATCATTACTGGGGAGCATATACTGAACTGGGGAAACCAGGGCCACAAGTGTTTGGGACAAAGTTATGTGTGGTGGCAGCGGCAACTATGCAGTGAATACTCAGCTTCTCCAATGCCCTGGGAACTTTAGGTCCTTCCTCTGTGAAGGGGATTCTCTTCCCTGATCCTATCCACCCTCTATCAACTTGTCTCAGGACTCTTGTCAGGATTAAATAAAGGATGAAGGACTGGGTTATGGCTTGGTGTTAAAGCACTTAGCTAGCATGCTCAGGGACCTCAGCTTGAAATGAGTAAATAAAGGAAGGGTAAAGTGCTTTGTACGGTGCCAAGGTAGCTCATGCCATTGACTGTATTCAGTTGTTTTTCTTTTAAAAGAAGAAATCTTTGCTTCTCAAGAAGGTAGTGCATAGCAGTTTTTTTTTTTAATCTTCTTTCCAAACATCTTTCATGATGTTTCTCATCTCAGTGTGTCATTGCATTCTGAGCATGTCAGAGATTGAGCTATTTATTATCTTCTGCTCTTTGCTTGTCTTCTGCCTCTTAGTAGAAGTGTGGATAAGATTCATAAGTTGTGAGAATGGCCATACTCTTCCTTTTCCCCCCAACCTTTTATCTCAAGAGAACAGCCCAGATACCACAGCCCCAGACACAGAATATCCTGATCATGGAGAGCCCTGATCACAGACACGGTTGAATTTCAAGACTTGGTGTTTTCACTTTGAATTTCTCCTGTGGGAGGCAGGAGACTGGAGGCTAGTCATGGGAACTCAGTGGTAGATTGTAGAGAAAGGTACTGAGTCTGCTCAATCTTTACACCTTGCCCAGCCTGACTTTGTGACTTGACTTCTCTGGCCCTTGGTGTCCTTTTCCTTAACCAGGGACATCTACAGCACTTACACATTGGAGGTATTGTGCTTTATGTATGCCCAACCCAGTCCATTTCATCCCAGCCCCTAGGGTTAGTGACCCTTGAGCCAACTTTAGTTATAGCCATACACTGTGGAGGCCCGTGCCCATGCAGCAGGTAGATAGAGCCAGTGGGTTCACAGTTACAGTACTGTTTGCACACTTGTCATTACAGAGAGGGAATAAGCCCCCAGAGAGGCCTTGGTTTCCAGACAAGCTGACCCAGAATCCAGATACCTGGTGTGACCCTTAGCACAGGTGTCCAGAAGAATTAGGGACTGGGTCAGTGGATCAAATCAGTGTTGTTTTGACCTCCTAAGTGATGGAAGAAACCCTTTTGTGCCTGAGTAAGATTGTGCAGGGAGGAGTCCTGATTTACAAAATACAAGATCACTACTCTGGAAGAGGTGAGGGGTTGTAAAGAGTTGGGAACATCAGGGTACTTCTCTAAATCATAGATTGTAGTTTGGTCATCAGTGAGTGGACTGGGGAACATTGGTATCTCTTCCAGCTGTAGCAGTCTCAGATCCTTGGCTGGAGCCTGATCCGGTCACCCCAGACCAACTATAGGCCAGCTTCTAACAGCTGTGAGGTGCCCTGAGGATGGAAGGCCTGGTGTTTGGGCCCTTGGACCTTGTGCTGCCAGCATCAGTTACTCATGTGATAGTGGGGCCACCCATTCCCACTGCACCTCCATGGTGAGGTGTTTCTTTCTGAGCTTCTCTGGAACTTCCTGCCCAAGTTCTTCAATTTGTTTTAATTGGAGTTTTAGAGAGAGACCAGAAGGAATCTGCTTTACCTCCTGATGCTAAATGGACTGCTATTGATATGTTTGCCTAGCCTGACAAGCTGAAGTCTGCCTCAGTGGTTGAGTCCCCAGATTTAAGCAAGTAGACTGCGTTTGGATCCCAGCATTGCCACTCTTGAACTATGTAATTGGGGGCATGTTACCTTACTTATGTGCCTTGGTTTCCCCAGTAACAAAAAGGGGATAATGATAGTACCTTCCTAGAAATTCTGGGAAGATTGAACAAGATCCTGGGACAGAGCAAACATCACCAGTACATTCTGAGACCCCTTCTCCCAGGGCCCTGGTTTCCTAGGTTTTCCTTCCTCACCTGGCCAGCCCCACCTTTCTCTGCCCCTTTTACCTCCTGAGTCAGCATGTGAGCAATATTATTATTATTATTATTATTATTATTATTATTATTATTATTATTTTGGTGTAGATGGACACAACACAATGCATTTTTTTATTTTTATGTGGTGCTGAGGATTGAACCCAGGTCCCGCCCGTGCTAGGCGAGTGCTCTACCACTGAGCCACAATCCCAGCCCTGCGTGCAGTATTATTTGCCAGCTCTTGCCCTCCATGCAACTCTTACCTCATGGATCACTGGAATGAGTAGATGTAGTATATTGTGATTTGGCTGAGCCCATTGGTCCCAGACACAAAGTTCTGCCATGTGGTGTCTCATCCCAGTTTCCCTTTCTGTTCCTGATCACTCCTATATTTGTCCTGGCTCAACTTGCCTAATTGACAGTTTGTCTCAGAACTACTTGGTTTCTTCACCTCCATATGTTTGTTTGAGCTACTACTTCTCTTTGGATTCTATCCCTGACTTGCCTGCCCTGTGGCTGGTCTGTCCCCCTGACCCTGTCTCTTCCCTTCCTTCTCTTCCCATAGCACCTGAAGCCTCAGGTTATGCATGTTTGTCTTCTTTCTTACCTTTCTAACTAGTAACCTTTGAAGGTGGGGCTTTTTTTCTGATACATGGTTGATACATTATTGACAAACACTTTTTAAAATGGTGATTTCAGAATATCACAGGTCTGTGCTGATGCTGCATGACTCAGTCACCAGACATTTCTGAGCTCCTCTTCTGGGCCATGCACTGTATATGTCCTTGCCTCACTAGGAGGTTTGTTGGGTGGAGGGTGTTGAAATTTGGGGAACAAAGGTACCATAGGTAGCAGAGAGGCTCCTTCCAAGGGGAGACTATTGGGTGAGCAGGGTATTTTTGCCTTCAAAGAAGCCATTCCTTGAGTTACCTATCTCATCCATGCTTGTTAACCTCTTTCTTCTTAGGCCGACTTAATATTACCTATCCCATGCTGTTCAAACTGACCAATAAGAATTCGGATCGCATGACACACTGCGGAGTGCTGGAATTCGTGGCTGATGAGGGTATCTGCTATCTCCCACACTGGGTGAGTGGGGCCATCAAGCTCTCTGGAGAGTGTGCCCCTTGGCCTGTCACATGTGGTGTTCTCATAGGCAGAATCACCCCCTAGTATGTGTGTGCACACTTGAGAATCCTGCGCCCCTCAACAGAGTGGCCCAGCAAGAGGAGTGGATCCAAAACAATTCCCTATGCCATTCCATAAAACACTGTGCTTAGCTATGGACCCATGTTACTTGACTTGTGGTCACATGACTTGAAGGACTTCATTGCAGACTTGGGTGCAAACATCTCGGTACATAAGAGCCTCCAGAACTTGCCCAGGGGCTGGACACTTTAGAGAAGCGAGCAAAACTGCACTAGTGTTTTAGGGAGGAGCCTGATGTTGCATGCATTCCACACCAGTGGCCTCAGGAACCACATGGTTCCCTTTTCCCCCTCCACTTCTCTCTAACCTACTCCTACCCTCTCCCTAGTTCTGACATGCTTGCTTTAGGAAGCCCATGGAAGGAAGCATGTTTCCTTCCTTTTGTGCTTTAATTTTCCCAGGTGCACTTAGAGTGTCCAGGATGAGCAGTGAGAGGGGCTGCAAACACACAAAAGTACTTCAACTGCCATACCTTGAGACCCCATTGCTAAGAAAGCAATGTTCTGAGGCATAGCCTACATCCTGCTGGTTCCCTTCGTGGTGATTGCCACATTTTGAAAGGCATGGTCCTCCTTCTCCTCCCTCATCCTCCCCCTTCCTCCCCTCCTCCTCCTTCTCTTTCTTCTCCCCTCCCTCCTTCCATCCCTCCCATCCTCCCTCCATTCCTCCTCCTCCCCCACCCCGCCCCCCGGCCTTTTCTCTTTCTGAGATTGAATATAAGTTCCCAAGATCCCTTCTCATTTGCAGGACACAACCTTGCCCATGCCACTATGAGCATGGTTGTCGTTTAGTCGGATCCCAGGACCCTTCATAAGTGGCAGACCTGACGAGCTTCTCCCCAATATGAGCCCTGCATTTGCACCTGTTGCCTGACTTTTCTTATGCTATCTCCTTCCAGACTGACTGGGCCTCTGATCTGACACTTGCCTCCTACTTTGCCATCCTGAGCATTTGCCACTCAGTATCTTGTCCTTGTGTATTGTCTGCAGGTGCATGAAGCCATGTCCTACTCATCTAGTACTATGTCTGGTCATTGAAGTTGCTCTGAGTTGTTGAAATGTTTGATAGCAACTATTTCTTCAGTCCTTTCTGTTTCTGCAGAGACTCCTCTGTGGATTACCTGTAAAGGTGAAAGAAGAAGTGGTGACACTGGGATTATACTGTATCTCAGAGGTTCTTTTCCAATCCACACACTTGGAGTTTGGGTGGCTACTTGACTCTTTGACAACTTTGGATTAGGAAACTAATTGAACCTTTTTCTTGAGGAATCTCTTGACCTCTGAGAAGCCTTATTCTCTCATTTTCTTTTTTCTAACCTGGCCTTTCAGATCCTAACATGAGGAAGTTGCCTTATGCCTCCCAACTGCTGTTTAAGGCAACACAGGGTGTGGGAGCAAGTGCTTTTCCTGCACTGATTGGTCAACTCCATCCCTCCCAGAGCTCCTGAGCTATTTCTGGGAGCCAGGCTGGAATAAATGCTGGCCTGTGTTCTAGCACCTGGGACCGCAACTGCTGACTTATACCTTTATTCCTTCCTGGGGCCACTTGCAAGCACTAAGATATGCACCAGACCAGATGCCTTTTGTACTGTGTGTGCATCACCACAGAACTTGCCTTGGGGCTGGATACCGCCAAACTGGTGGACTAGGTATAGAGCAAGATTTCAGCTCCTCCTCCCCTCCCTCATTGCCCTCAGCTTATTTCTCACCGCAAGCCCTGATCTAACCCTCACTTCTGTCTCTCTGTCTCAAGCCTTCTGTGGCTGTGTCCTGCCTCTTGATGAGGAATCTTCTCCTACTCCCACTACAGTACAGGCTTCCTCCAGCCTGTGATCACAACCTTGCCCTTTGTACTTCAGGGCCTCGTACCACTAATGTCCTCTTCCTCCTCACTGACAGATCACTCAGAAAAGTCTGCCCAAGGGCCTGGGGTTTGACCTACAGCAGGCTGACTCAGCCTTGGAACATTTCCACTCTCCAAAGTCTCAGTACCCTCAGTTCAAAGCCAGCTGCCTTGCCATCCTGCTGTAGCTCCCTGTGTCATTAGAAGGAATGACAACCCCTCCATTGCTGTCATTTCCAGCTTGATAAGTGCCTTTCAGCTCAAGTGTGTTGAGGCCTCCATAGGCTTGTCTTAGGACCCACTCACTCTTGAACTTTGCTCATGGCTGGGCCCCTGCCTTCTTTAAGGTATAGCTGCTGCCCCAGTTATGCTCCCTTTCTCTTAACTGCACCATAACTCCCTGTCCCCCATTTCTTGGGCTGTTTGGGTCACTTCCTAACTGCTGCTCTTGATGAAGTATTCTCAGAAGAACATGATGTCCAGTGTGGGGTGGGACTGGAGAGTGGGGTGTGGATAGAGAAAATGAGCTAAGCCATATTTTGCTTACTGTTGAACTGTCAGGGCAGGCTGTGCAAAAATTGGTTTTGTGATTCTCTCTATCCATGTATTTATCTGATATTCTTTTCAAGAAGGTTTAAAATAAGACAAGCAAAAGCCTATTCTGGGACATGCAGAGTTCTATTTTCCTGGCCTAGTCTTCTTTCCTCTGACCTAAGTCTCAGGCACACTGTAGTGGCTGTCCTCTCTAATATGCTGTATTCTCATAGGCTTTGTTGATGTTTCCATCTTCCACCTCAGCCATCATCTGCCTTACTGGGTTTTTAATAGAAGAATTACAAGAATGTAGGGGGTGGCTGTCAGTTTTTTATAACCCTCTATAGCAGGTATCTCTGGAGTCTTGTCACTACTTCATGGCCTTAGCCATTTCAAGCCATTCCATAGTAGCTCCGCTTCATCTTCTGCTATTATTATCGTACCTTAAGTATAGCCCTGTTTACCCAGATCCTTATAACCTGTTGGTGGGACAGTTTAGGAACCAGGAACTGAGCATTCCAGGAATATGCTGTACCCCAGAAGGCCTGTAGCTGGAGGCTGATCGAGGTGCCCCAGCAGAGATATAGCATACTATTAGCTGCAGCAGCCTTAGCCCCCATTTCTTGGCCTTTTTCTTCCCACATGGTTCCCTCACTTAATTTTTCATTTTTTCTGATGTTGTATCCCAATTAAATTACCTGTTCTCAAGTCTTTTGTCTCAGGCTCCTCTTTTGAGGCCCCAGGTAAGACTTCGGCTCATCCGTTGTACAACTTGATGATAACTATGATGCTGCTTCATTTCCAGGAGTTTCATGCAGCATTCTTCCTTTTAGATGATGCAGAATTTGCTGTTGGAAGAAGGGGGCTTGGTGCAGGTGGAAAGTGTCAACCTTCAAGTGGCTACATACTCCAAATTCCAGCCTCAGAGCCCAGACTTCCTGGATATCACCAACCCCAAAGCAGTGTATCCTTTTGAAATAAGAAGGGTTCCTCTAAATAAAAGATTGGTATTCAGGAGCCACTAATAACAGGTGCTTTGCTACTTTCAGAACCACATGTTTGTGGTTGAAGTTGTGATTTAAGAATAATAGCATTCAGAACTAGGGTTGTAGCTCAGTGGTACAGTGCTTGCCTGGCATGCACGACACTTTGGGTTTGATTGTCAGTACTACAAACAAAAAACAAAAAAAGCCAGCACATTGACCTGACTCCTCGTCCTGAGTGCACTAAATGTTCTGTATGCCTCCTTTGATCATTTTCCAGACACTTGAAGAAGCCAGAGTGGAACTCTTCTTTCAGTTGGACTTTGCCCCCTGGCACAAAGTCTAGTCTTTTGTATATAGGTGCAGTATGTACAGTGGAAGGTAGGGATGACTCACCTGCCTTCACCCTCTAGCCTCTGATAACGCAGCTCAACAAAGAACTGGCTAGTCAGTTCCATAGTGTGCCCAGGCTTAGGACTCAGTCATTCCATCATAGGTAATGTTGACTGGCTACAGCAGAAAGCAGATGTTTAGATTCTAGTGATTTATTTTTTTCTTTTTTTTTTCTTTTTTTGCAGTACTGGGGAAGGAAGTGACCATTGTGGGTAAGAGGTGTACTGTCTGTGGACTGCGATCAAGATCTCTTGCTTGGGCTAGGGATGTAGCTCAATGGTAGAACAGTTGCCAAGCATTCACAAGGCCCTGATCAATCCCCAGTACCACAAAACAACAACATTAGCTTGTTAAAATCGTAATACTAAAGAGTGTCTATTTAACTTTTTCCTTTTTTTGTGATGCCAGAGATTGAACCTAGGTCCTCATTGCATGCTAAGAAAATCTTTACCACTGAGCAACATCCCCAGCCCTATTTATTTTTTAAAATGCATGCTTTTAAAAAAATTTAAGAGCTGGGCATGGTGGTACACATCTGTTATCTCAGCTACTTCAAAGGACTGGGGACATAGGTATGTGGTGGAGCACCTCTGGGTTTAATCCCTAGTACTGTTTACCAAAAAAAAAAAAAGTGAACAACATGGAAAGGTAAAATATAAAAAAATTTTTAAAAGGTGCCTTCCTCCCCATCTGGTCACTCTCTAGGCCCACTTTCAGAAGCAAGCTGCATATGAGCCATATTAAGTCCTTTGCTGATCATGTCCGGACACAGTGGCCTCATTGAGCCCCCTATTGATTTGGTCCTGGATGAGGGGTGTGTTGGAGATCTTCCTATGGGAAGATCATACATTATTCCTCAGAACTCTGACCTAGATGTGTTGGGCTATTAGTGACTAAGAAGGGGTCCTGAATCTGTGGTCATAGCTCCTTTTGATCTTTGTTTTTTTTATGCATATTGCAATGCAAACTTATTGTGGGATTGTTTTCAGAGGCTGTTTCTATTGGCCTGGATAACTTGTTAGTGTAGAGAGTATTACTTGTGTTAGCTGAAAGTCAGTTGGGTGTTCCCCTGGTTTGACTGACAGGATAAAGGTAGTCAGCATATAACATGGAAGGTGGGGAGCTTGTGCTTTGGCATGTGCCAGGTCGTGCAGAAGTAATGCAGGGAGCCAGCCATGCTTATCCTCCAAAACCAAGAAATCTGTTCTAGTGTAGTTCAGGCTCAGCGCCTCCAACCATTGTGGTCAAAGTCAAAGCATGCCCTTGCAGCGTCACTGGGAGTAATAATTTTTTTGCAGTATTGGAGATTCAATTCAGGGCATTCTACCACTAAGATATGCTCCAGCCCTTTTTATTTATTTACTTTTTGAGACAGGGTCTTGCTAAGTGGCTGAGGTTGACCTGAAACTTATAATTCTCCTGCCTCAACCTCCCAAGTTGCTGAGATTACAAGCATGTACCACCACACCTAGACTATTATTATTACTTTTTTTTTTTTAAATTTTGAGACAGGAGCTCACTCAGTTGCCTAGGCTGTCCTTGAACTTGTGATCCTTTTGTCTCAGCTTCCATGCCTGGTTAAGCTGTGTTTTGAAGTTTCTCTTGTTGTTTTTTATTTTTGTGGTGCTAGGGATTGAACCCAGGGACTCATGCATGCTAGATTAGCACCCTCCTGAGGTATATCCCAGCTCAAAGCTGTGTGATTTTACTTCCAGCATTCTACACTACATGTACCTAATGGTAACTTCTCATAGACACTTAATTTAGATTGAGGTATACATTTTGCCATGTTGCCTTGACAGTGTGTGTCTGCAGGTTAGAAAATGCATTGAGAAACTTTGCCTGTCTGACCACTGGGGATGTGATTGCCATCAATTACAATGAGAAGGTAGGTGAGCTTTGTTTAACATAGATTGGACCTAAAAAGAACCACTTACATTGTCTATTCTGGTGTTTGGGGCTTCTTTTTAAGTGAGATATTCCTGGATCTTAGTACCTCATTACTGCATGCTATTTGCTTTTTAAAATTTTATAGCCATAATTCACAAATCCCATTTAAGGATCGATTGCACTTGTAGGTAAATAAGCTTAATATTGCTATTCTTAATCATATCTCTGTGGACCACGTTGGTGAGGCTGTCAATTCTCCCTCTATTAAAAAGGTCTTTATTATATCTGTAACCTAAGCCTTTAAGGCTTTTATATAGCTGTAGGGATCTAGAAACAGAAAAGCTGTATCCTTGTCTTTGTGATTTCTTCCCTTGGAAGCAGACAATCCCTGGAGGAGCTGGCCCTGCAGTGGGTTGAATGTTGTTAGGTACCTTGGGCACCTGGCTCTTGCTGGGGACAGTGTCTCTTGGAGTCACTTCCTCTTCTCATGGGAGCCCACAGTTTTATTTTTTTTAACTCCAGTTTTCCATTAGCAACTCCTCTGGGTTTAGCCCCTCCTGATATAGGTTCATATGTTCAATGTTCATATGTATCAATCTGTGCTTCTTGAGTGTCTGATCCTAGATAATTTAGCTACAAAGTGAAATGACATGTGAGTTCTCTCAGTTCAGGGGGCCATCTGCTTTCCATATCCATGGAAACACATTTGCAGGAGGATATAATAACTGGAACTCTTGCCAGTAGGCTGTTCTGACGTAGGCGTGGCATACAGTAGTGTTGATGCCTCTTGTCCACTGTGACAGTTGACAGTTGACCACCATGGGATTTCTGCCAGGGCTGACTGCTGCTGTCCAGGAATGACCCCAGCCTGGTTTAGCCTGCTTCCTCTGTGATGAATGCTCAGCTCCTTTACAACATTGTCTGGTCTCTTTGGACTGGGATCCCCACAGCCATGTCACAGGAGCCTTGTGGGTTAGCCAGTTCCTCCTTCGCAGTATTTAGAGGCAACTACTTGGTGTCAATGTAAATATCTAGCTTCTTATCTGAAAGTTTCCCTATATTTGAGGGATCTTACACTAATAACCTTTACTTTCCTGTTTTGTGGGTTTCAAATCATATGTTTTTGTTTTTTCTTTTTGTATAAACTAAGAAATATTCTTGTCTTTAGCTTCATGGAGAATATTTTAAGTATTGTCTATCTTAATTGAATATTTTAAGCTTTTTGATTAATTGTAGGTAGCTTTCATGATATTGTTCTTAATATTCAAGTAATAATGCTAACTTTTTTTTGTAAGTACGTTGAATAACAGGTACCTAATTATTTATTTTTATGTGGTGCTGAGGCTCAAACCCAGCGCCTCTCACGTGCTAGGCGAGTGCTCTACCGCTGAGCCACAACCCCAGCCCCAGTAATGCTGACTCTTAAATTGATGATAGCTGGGTGTGGTGGCGCACATCTGTAATCCCATCAGCTCCGGAGACTTAGGAGGATCACAAGTTCAAAGCCAGCCTAAGCAAAAAAAGTGAGGTGCAGAGAAACTCAGTGAGACCCTGTCTCTAAATAAAATACAAAATAGGGTCGGGGATGTGGCTCAGTGGTCAAGTGCCCCTGAGTTCAATCCCTGGTACCCCTCCACCAAAACGTGTATATATATTAAATTGATGATAAAAGATGCCGCTGATGATTTTACACAGTAAGTGAGGGTATTATAATAAGATATACATTGAAGCACAGGTTTAAATAATACTTGAAAAATAATTTCTTCCCTTTCTGTATTTTTTTGTTGTTGTTGTTATTTTGCATTTCTGGGGATTTGAACACAGGTCCTTGTACATGTTAGGCAAATGCTCTATCACTGAGCTATACCTCTAGCCTGTTTTTTACATGTGAGCAAATGTAATTCATCTAAGTGATCTATTGATAGGCATTTTGGGTACACACTATTAGTAGTATTGGGATGAGCTTTCTTAGAATTTTCTTCTTAGGTACTTAGCCTAATTATTTACTTGGAATAAATTCCTATAAGTGAACTTTCTGGGTCAAAGGGAGTGTCTTGATTGGTCATGGTGGCACACACCTGTAATCCCAGCAACTCAGGAGGCTGAGGCAGGAGAATCAGAACTTCAAAGCCAGCCTCAGTATTTGAGCAAGCAACTTAGCAAGATCCTGTATCAAAATTTAAAAAATAATAAGTAAATGGAAATGGCTCGTGTTGTAGCTCAATGGTAAAGTGATCCTGAGTTTAATCCCCAGTACTCCCTAAAGAAATGAAGAGGGGAAAAATACAGGACTGTGTTTTGCAATATGATGCATAACTATCTAATTGGAACCACATATGGTGAACAAACATCTCTTGAGCAGTTGACATAAAGGCAGCCCACCCCTCAACTGAAGGAGGAGGTGCAGCTGTATGATGATGTCATGGGAATGATGGTCCTGTCCACAGGAGTCTGGTAGCCCCAAAACAGGGACATTGCAACCTCCAGTGCTGCCTCACAACTGTCCCAACTGATTTCTGTATTTTTTCCACAGATCTATGAACTACGGGTGATGGAGACAAAACCTGACAAAGCTGTGTCCATCATTGAGTGTGACATGAATGTAAGTGACTTTTTGTGGTTTCAGTGAGCTCAGATCAGAGCTTCTGGGGGATATCACTCAATCCCTGGGAATGTTTGGGTAAAGAGGAGGAAGATGCTATCAGAACATCACAAGGTGACCATTCACCTAGTGATCCATCCCAGGAAGTAGGGGTGGCAGAGTTTGCTTATGATGCTGAGATGGCTGAATCTATGGTCAGCTCAGATCTGCCAAGGAATAAATATTCTTAAGAGCCAAGGAAATTTTCTCAGATTCCTGAATAGGAATAAACCATTGATGTACACAACATCCTCATTGCTGAGCCCCTCCCGCCGAAAAAAGTGATGGTGGATAGACAGACCCTCTTGATGATGAAATCAAAACACATACACATAAATACATGTAGAATCAGAAAGCTCTGTATAAGAGCAGTATGTTTTCTAACATTGACATCCTGGTAGTGATGCAATGCTGTAATTTGTGATGTGTCTTAATTGAGAAAACTGAGCATAATGTATAGGCATATCTTTCAGTATAATTTTTTAGAACCATGTGTGAATCTGTAGTTGTCTTAGTTAAAATAGATAACGAAACTGAGTATGACCTTGTCTCAACATTTTACCTTTCATTTTGACAATACAGGTGGACTTTGATGCTCCCTTAGGCTATAAGGAACCTGAAAGACAAGTCCAGCATGAGGAGTCAACAGTAAGTGATTTCTCCAGAGTCCCTTCCCAAATTCTCATGCACTTGATCTTTTTAGTACTAGTGCTTCATTATGTGTGACCTCTGTTGGGGCTGGCATTGTCATATCCCCTGCTTCTCTTCCCTCTTCCTTGGGGGACAGTGTGTCCAAGCTGATGCAGGGTAGGAGCAGCATTAGTAACTGGAGGCTCAGGGTAAAGCTGGATGTTCATGCTTAGAAATTTACCTCCTGTTTTCTGTCTCCCCATCAGGAAGGCGAAGCCGACCACAGTGGCTATGCAGGAGAGTTGGGCTTCCGTGTGAGTACCAGGCCACATGTTTTACTCTTTGTGCTTCCTTGAATCAGAACATTCACTGCAAGCTGTTCTCTGTGATGGTCTGTGGACATTAGTAGGGGTTGTGTTCTGGGTACCTACATACACAAGTCAGACACTTGCTCAGTTCCTAAATCTTGTTGCATATCTACTTTCTCCTAGAATCTTACCGACCCTGTAAGGAACCCAACTTTATTTTTTTTTCCCCATTAAAGAAAATTACCCTACCAAAAAATTAAATTAATACAATGGACATATCCTTCCTTTAGGTTCAACAGTATTTATTACTTTTTCTCTATTGCTAAAAGTATGTCCTGTTTTTTGTTTGTTTTGCCTACACCATTTGAAAGTAAGCTGGAGATATGACCCTTAGCATAGCCTCTGGCCAGGCTCACTGAGAAGTAGGTGGAGGTGGCTCATGTGCAAGCACTGGGATGCCAAAAAACAATGGAAGAGACATGATTGGGCATTCAGGAAGCTAAATCTGGGAGGCGGTCACAACAGAGGCCTTAGCCCACCCACAGGGGCTTGAACTAGCCAAGCCTTTCAACCACTGGCTGCTGGCTGCTCTAGGGTCAGGCAGCTCTTTTGGATCTCAGTAGTACATTGAAAGGCTGGGTGGAGAGATCTCCACTGCCAATAATCCATTAGCTGGGGAACAAGGACTTTAGTTCTAATGGGTCTGGGTATCACCCTCAGGCACATGTGCGCTCACCCTTGAAGTTCAGCATGCACTTCTGCTTGCTTGTCTAGGCCTTTTCTGGCTCTGGGAATAGACTAGATGGAAAGAAGAAAGGGGTAGAGCCCAGTCCCTCCCCAATCAAGCCTGGAGACATTAAAAGGTAAGTCTGTTGTAACTGCCCCTGCTGGATGTTTTGGCATTGTCCAAGGAGGGGCTGTGTCAGACCCCTGCTTGCTCTCCTGGTGTTGGGGGACCATGATATTAATGGGTTCAGATACCCTCACAATAGACTCTCCTCTGGCAGCTGTCATGGTGGGGATAGGGATGAGATGTGCCAGCTGTCTACCGTGTGTAAATAGGAGAATGCAAGTGACACCTTCTTTAACCCATTCTCTTAAAGAGTAAGATGAGAGAGTGTAGCCCTTGTTGGGGGCTCTGTGTGGCTTGAAATGACTCTTCAGCACAGGCCAAACCCCTGCCCCATACCCAGTATTTATGCTAAACCAGGAAACCATTTGTCTTCTGGATCCCTGCTAGAAGAATGCTGGGGATTACTCTAGGGCTGACCAAAGACCTAGGTAGTATATAGCAGTATATTTCCAGAAGAGTAATGGGGGATACTTGTTTTGTTGTTGTTGTTGTATTGGGGTGGGGGTCTTTTTTTTTGCTTGCCCTCCTCTTGATGTCAAAAGTGAATTTTAGTCCTTTCCTCTTGGAATGAACATTTCTATTTTTGTCTCTTCTTCACAGAGGAATCCCCAATTATGAATTTAAACTTGGTAAAATAACTTTCATCAGAAATTCACGTCCATTGGTTAAAAAGGTTGAAGAGGTGAGTTTATTTTATTGGTAATGAGAAGTATTTTTTTACTAGTGATGACTGGGATTCTTAATGATTCTGAACTGGGCATTTCTGTTTTGTGTTCCCCATTCCTGGGGTCATTATTTTCTTAATGGCCTAATTCTGTAGAGTATAGGCTGAGGCCTGGCAGTCCAGGGGTCAGGAGCTGAGGCCTGGCAGTCCACAGGTCAGGAGCTGACTCAAGGCTCTGCCACTGAAGAATAATGTACCCTAAATGGGCCTTATATTTTGCTTGCTTCTCATATAGAGACCTGGTGCTTCCAGTCTCTGAACATCTTCTAGCTGAGTGGGATGGTTGTAAGATAAGGGAAGGAAAGAATTGAGCATCCTGCAGACATGAACACTTCAAGACTGTATGGCCAGGCCTCACAGGCACTTTGCACCAAACATCACTCAATGTATTGCAGTAAGAGGGCAGGCATTCAAGTTCCTAAGTTCAGGCCATCATAGTACTCTCGTCACCTAGCAATGGTGACCAGCATGATATAGGTGCCAACTACTAATGTTGAGTGCTTTACGTGTAACAACTCTTAAATCCCTGGAATAGCCCCAGGAGATGGCTGCTGTGATTATCTGCATTTGTACAGATGTGTATGTGAAAATCCAGAGGTGAGGGCTCTCTGAGCCTGTGGTCATAACTCCTGACCACTTTATAACCCACTTTTGTGCCACTACATGCTGCAAGTTACCTCCACTGAGACATGACAGCAGGCCTCCCTTGGCCTGGTATGCGTCTGTTATAGGAAAATGAGGTCTGACAGGGGGGAAGAGGAGGAGTTGGCTAAGGTGAGGGTCTGCCTTGTGGGAACTTACTTCAGGGTACTAGGTGTTGGCTCATAAAATCCAGCATACCCTGTCAGAGACTGCCCTCAGCACTCAGTAATTGTGGCTGGATGCAGTGACCTGAGGTGATGAGAGTTTCTAGAATACCCACATTTTAGACCCTGTTTTCTTGATTCCTTTTCTCAAAGGAGCAGACCTTGGGGATCCAGGAGTAAGGGAGAGGGCAGATGTGCTGTGATCTCTCTTCAAGATGGTCTGCCAGTCACTGGAACTAGTCATCAGCCACTTCCTGACTGCAGGGCCCTTGTTGGCCCCTCCTGACCCCTGAACTGTAGCATTTGGGTTGGTTGGGAGCAGACACCATAGTGTTGTCTCTACACCCCAGTCCCATGTGCAGGTGCTCCTGGCTATAATGTTTCCACATTGGCACAGTGTTAGGGATCTTCCAGGTTCAGACCAAGTATACATGGTTTCCTAGTCAGACCTCATAAGACCTGAGACCTCAGTGTGGGGTGTGCTCTTGGTATGGCTCATGGCTCATCATCACTTATAGATTCACAAAAGGGAGAGTGAGGCTGGCAGGCATAAACAGATTTATTTATCCATAATTTTTTAAGAAGTGTATGATGAAAGATGGGATTGAGCTGATTCTGTGGCATTTGCCTATAATCCTACTGGCTCAGGAGGCTGAAGCCTTGAGGATCAAGGGCTGGGATTGTAACTCAGTGGTAAAGTGTTTCTGAATTCCATCCCCAGTATGGGGGAGAGACGGGAGAAGAGGAAACCAAAAAAGATAGACTTAAAGACATATACTTAGTTCTACTCCATCCTGAAGCCCAGTAGAGTTGTGGTTACAGGCAATGAGACAGTAAAGATTGGAAGAGGAGGCAACTCCAGCAAGATTTTGGAATCCTCAGAGTAGAAGGACAAAACGATGGAAAGCTGCATCCTAAGTTGAGTGTGAGGAAAGCCAAGAGGCAGTTTGGTATAGATTGTGGAGCTCTCAAAAGGCACTGCTGGAAATGAGGGGTTAAAGATAGAATACAAAACATTAAGAACTGTAGCAGTCTCCCTCCCGGTACTCCCGGAAGAAGGTATCAAAAGGTCTCTAGACCAGGGCAGTCAGCCATAGTGGATAGCAAGACCAAATGAAGAGTGAGAAGGAGAGACAGTTTGTACCCTGAATATTAATGCCCTTTATGTTCTTCCACTACTTGGTCCCCAGTATACTGGCAGACAGAGTTACTCATTATAGTTGGAGGTTGGAGCTTTCTCTGTACAGACTGATGAGCCCAAGAAAAAAGACCTAAAGATAATGACAAACAGTAGTGTTTCCCCAAGGAATGTCTGTCCTACCCAGCTTATCCCAGACTGAAAACCACAGTCAGAAAGCTTTCAGTTCCGGGATGGGAGCATGGCTTTGTGATAGAATGCTTGCCTAGCATTTATGAGGTCCTGGGTTCAGTATCCAGCACTACAAAAAAGAAAAAGTTTCTAGTTCTACCACACAAGTATTAAGAATTGTGAAAAGAAGCTGGGTGCAATGCCATATACACTTGTAATCCTAAGACTGAGATGGGAGAATCACTTGAGCCCAGGAGTTCAAGATCAGCCTAGATAACATAGTGAGACCCTATTACAAAGACAGAAAGAGGGGGCTGGGATTGTGGCTCAGCGGTAGAGCGCTTGCCTAGCACGGGCGGGACCCAGGTTCAATCCTCAGCACCACATAAAAATAAAGGCATTGTGTTGTGTCCATCTACACCTAAAAAATAAATATTAAAAAAGAAAGAGGGGTAAAGAAAGAATGGAAAGAGTTGAATTGTGAAAAAAAAAAAAAAAAGACCAGAAAAACCAAAGGAGCAAAAACTATCAGGGAAATAATATCTCCAAATGAAGGACCCAACAATGAATGAAGATAGCTCCACATTGAAGATATTCTAGGGATCACATTGAAGATCTTCTAGAGAGAAGATAGGTGCCATTGGGAAACAAGGACATCATCTTGTTAGGACACATGTAGGAAGCTACAAGACAGTGCAACAGTATCTTTAAAATTCTGTGGGGAAATAATTTTCAACCTAAAAATCTGTACTTATATGGGCTGAATTTTGTCCCCCTCAAATTTCTATCTGGAAGCCCTAGAATGTGGTTGTATTTGGAGATAGGGCATTTTAAGAGGCAGACTAACACAATTATCAATGAAACATGAGAGTAGAAAAAACTTATTTCTGAACACATAGGATCTCAAAAAAAAAAAAAAAAAAAGCCTGCTTATACACCCTTTTTCAGAAAGCTACTGAAGAATGTACCTCACTAAAATGAAGGAATGAGATAAAAAATAAGAAAGCTAGATTCTCCTGGAACTAGGGAGTCCCCATAATCATTGATAGCACCTGGACAATAGCCAGTCCAGGAAGGGCAGGCTAAAGGCCCAAGAGACATACCTTCCTCAAGTAGAAGAAATCAGTGCATACCTGCTATGATCCAATAGGTGGAAGAGAAAAACCAGATAGTTATTCATACCAAGACAGATAAAAGGCTATTCAGGAAAGGAAGACTATATGGCTCAGCTGTGACTCACCTTTATAAGACTGTCATCACAAATATTGAATTGCCCCACCATAGGTACAATATTTTGTAGTAATTGGGGGTACTAGGTATGAGGTTATGTGTTAGAAATCCTCTTCTTCCATAGAGGAAAGTCAGGGGACAATATCTCAGACTAACTAGGAATAAAAGCACGTGGAAAAATATAAATTTGAGGCCAAACTGGGCAACTATGGAGACACATTTATTTTTCTTGGTGCTGGAAATTGAATACAGGGCCTTGTGCATGTGAGGCAAGCATTTTACCAGCTGAGCTAGATCCCTAGCCCTGGGAGACATTTTTAAAAGGGGTGGGGATGATGCTCAGGGGTAAAAAATTTGCCTGGTATGCATGAAACTCTGGGTTTCATCCCTTATACCATAAAGAAAAGAAAGTATATGAACCCTTATATCCATGAATTCTGGGACAAGTCAGGTGTTTGGAACATGAAGTTGCTTAGCACTGCAATTTATAATACTACAATCTTGGAAATAACAGAAATATCCAGTGGAAGAAGACTGGCTCTCCTTGATGGAGTTCTCTGTAGTATTTGGAATTTGCTAGATAAGAAACTCATCGGCTTGAAACTTCAGAATTGAGAAAAGTTTATATATACAGAAAAATAACAGGAAATGTTCTTTTTAGGTGATGAAGTTATGAGTGATTATTCCATAAAAAGATATCCAAATGGTCTCTAATGTATTATAGTTCTACTTAGGATTTTTCAACTTTACAAAGATGTGAAAGCAATGCATGGAATTTTGAATTTTGATCTTTTGCTGGGCTAGTGCTAAGCAGTATGATCCTCTCTGGTGCTAGACAATAGGTCTGAGTCACAACTCCCTGTCAGCAAAATGATTATGAGGGGAAACAACCAATATTCCACAGTGTGATGTGTTACTAAATTAGAATATTTGGTTGGTTAGGTGTTTTTTTTGTTTGTTTTTGTTTTGTAGTACTGGGGATTGAATTCAGAGGCCACATCACCATCCCTTTTTATTTTTTGAGACAGGATCTTACTAAGTTGCTGAGGCTGGACTCAAACTTGGAATCCTGCCTCAGCTTCCTGAGTCTCTGAGATTATAGGCATGTGCCACTGTGCTCAGTTGGTTAGGTGTATTAAATATATTTTTTAACTTAATATGATATTTTTCAACTTATAGATGAGGAACTTTTGTATATTCAACCTGAAAACCTTTTGTAAATTCAACTTACAGTTGTGATTCTGTGGTTTTGTATTTATATTTTAGAGTTTTCTGGTTACAAATAATGTGGAAGAAAAATGGTACTGATGTGTACACAGAATAAGGCATTCATTGTAAACCTCCAGGGAGTTTCTGAAAACAGTCTTATCTTCACATCTAGGATGAAGCTGGAGGCAGATTTGTTGCTTTCTCTGGAGAAGGACAGTCCTTGCGTAAAAAGGGAAGAAAACCATAAGTTGGGACTGTTGACTGGAAAATAAAAGAATCAATTGCAACATATTGGCTTTTAGTTACTGGCTCTGACAAGGATGAGACTATCATCAGAGAATGCTGTTACTTAAGGTTTGTTTAGCATTACCTAAGAATTATCAAATTTGACTTGGATGTGGAGCAGTAGGACTTTGTGATTGTGTGCTTGATATTGGGAAAGAGTAAGAGCTGTCTCTTCCATAGTCAGCCACCTCCTCACTACTTCATGCTTGCAGCTCAAGGGCTCTCCCACTCTGCCTCAGCACAACAGAATTTCCTCATTTCTTACAAAACCAGTGGAGGAATTAAATTGCTCTAACTTAAGGTGTTCTTTCTCTTCATTTTTACTTTTCCCAGGTCTGTTGCATAGGCATTGTATCTGGCTTAGAAAAACATAGTTTAAATAGATATGTGCTCTGTAAATAGTGGCTCTCCCACTCCTATGGCTGCAATTTAAGTATTTGAGAAAGGGTGTTTTTATTTTTGTTTTACATATTGAGTTTTTTCAAAAGTACCACACCTATGAAGGAAACCTATACGATAATTTCTTGTGGAAATAACTGGTTCCTTAGTTGACCTATTCTATAATAAAACAACTCCATGATGAAACCAAATATGACTTAGAATAAATAAATGCTAAAGATATGTTCCTCTTTCTCCTCCTTCCCTACCCTTACAGTTTGCAATTTTAATTTATTAAATTATCCAAGGTTCTAGTGGCCAGTCTTTTTGTTTGTTTTGTTTTGTTTGGGCTAGAATTGAACCCAGGGTTTCAGGAATACTAAGCACGTATTTTACCACTGAGCTGCACCCTCCAATGCCCATTTTTTATATGTTTTAATTTGGTCTCAAATTGTCATTTTTTGTAATGTGAGATCTTTTGACCTGCTAATCCAATTATTTTAAATTTAGTTCTTGAGAATAATTCTAAATTGAGAATTTTCAAATAAAAATAGGCAATGATTGAAATGTGGATTGCCTCTAAATGTTTGATTAAGTACTAACATGGATTGGTGGTCGGGCCACTAACCAGTAAAGTGCTCCTTTGGGCCGCCTTCTGGAGGAAGTAGGGACAAACAAGGCTTCCTGACAACTGGAGTAGAGCTGATCAGGCCCATGTAAGATCCCCCATATACCAGAATTTACCCTTTTATAGATAAAATGATCACACTCTGGACAGGGTTTCTCTTCAACACTCAGGAGAGGCTGCCCTTTCCAAGGTAGGCAACACCAGAGTCCATGCACCCAGAGCATGGATGAGTACCATATTCTGGGCTTGATCCTGTGCACAAACCATCATCACTGGCAATGGATGGTGACCTACCAGATCCTCCACTTAGGTGGTCTCAGTTTCACATCAGAGGTAAAAGCTCTCCTTAGCAAGTAGGAAGCCTCCATTTGCAGGATTTTGATAGCTAACAAATTGTCATTTTGTGCATAATGAATATCAGTGTAAGTCCTGGCCCTAGGTTTTTATATTCCTTAAGCAATACTTGGCTTTATGCAATTAAACTCCTACTTCTTTACTGGAGACACACTTCCCTGTCTGCACCAAAGGCCTTCTGGTAGCTGTTTGGGCATTTCTGTTTGTTTGTTTAAAGTGATTCTAGGGACTGAACCTGGGGCCTTCAGCATGCTAGGCAAGTGCTCTCCCACCAGCTACATCCCCAGGCCAATTAACTCATGTCACCTGGAGCACTGGGCCTGGTGCTTACTGCTACGGTATGGCCCACAGCTCTTCACAGGCAGTGTCTTCTCCTAACTTGGAGCCAGCCATCTCAACAAGACCCCTGGGAAAACTAGCTTTCTCACATACTTTCAGACCCACTGTTATCCCTGGAATGAGCTCAGCAACTGCATTGTAAGGGGCTCCTCAGCAGATGATTGAATTTCATTCAGAGAGCCATTACATAGGTATTACAAGGCATTTGTGCAGACCCACCAGCTGTACTTTTGCCTCTATTGCCTCTCTCTGCCGGGAATGCCCATCTCTCAGCCTCCTCTTCCAGCTTGGGTTCCTTGGGGAAGTCATCTTGCACCCAAGGACCACCAGCACATATCTCAGATCCAACCAACTCTTGTTATTTTGTGACTACATCTTCACCTCTGGTCACTGCAGCCCTGCAACACTTGCAAGTTGATGCTTACAGAACGTGCTTTCAAAGATGAACTAGATCTTCGAGATTTAAAAAAGTAAGAATGATGTAAATAATTGGGATATCCGCGACAGCCAAGCACATGGCTGTGTAGCCCAGGACGCCAGTCAGACACTAGCTGACTACACCAGTCTGCCTTGGTCACTGCGGGTCTCTTGGAACACATTTCCCGCCCTGCCTTTCTTCGTGTCACCGCCTCTGGCTGTTATTGGCTATTGAACTCAAACATCCTGTTTATTGGCACTTCTCAGGAAGTATTTGGTAAGAGTTGCACTATCTTGGAGTTCATTGGTTCTTCAATGTGTCAGTTACGTATATTGTGTTCTCAGTTTTCATTGGGTGGTGGGCGGATGCGCTGTGGCTTGGCAGTAGATTCAGCATGGCCGAAGGCAACAACTGGATGGTAAATGTGGTGGGCAACAAGGGTCCGCGGGGGTCTGGTCCGACTAGGAAAGTAGATTAGTAGGGCGAGGACTGGACGGGATCAGGGACGTGGAGCGTGGCCGCAGAGCCCGGCTCAGACGCCATCTCTCGCCTCAGCCTCCGCGACCCTGTGAGGCCTACCAAGCTGAGTGGAAGCTCTGTCGCAGCGCCCGGAACTTCCTGCATCACTACTATGTCCACGGGGAGCTCCCGACCTGCGACCAGTGGCTGCGCGACCTGACCAGTTGTCGCGACTGGGAGGAACGCCATAGCACCGAGGCCCAGGTGCGCCGGGAGAGGTCTGGGTGGAGTGCGGTGTGGAGCCCCCAGGCCCTGGGCATTTTGCAGGCGATTACTGGAGTCCCTCCCCTCACTTATTTTGAAAAATATCCCAAATTAGTGTCATGTGATTTGGGGAGGGCATTAAGAACAAAAAGGGAAACAGAAGTGTAGTTTGGAGAGAGGAGGGCCGACCTTCCAGTCTACAGCAGACCCGTAGAGCTTGTGATACTGCTGTTCCTGATTTCAGAGCCTTCACTTAACCCCAAGGGCACGACTTAGGAAAAGAAAGTAGACCCAGGTGCCCTGAGGAGAGGGTGGGCTGTAGAGGACTGGTGATGTGGTTGAGTACCAGGGACCTGAGGGGCCTTGAAAAAGACTTCAGAGTCTAGTGTCCAGTTTAAAAGAGAAGCATAATATTGTATAATTTTTAAAAGATCAGTCTGGCTGCGGAGGTGCAGAGAGTATGTATCTTAGAGGACCAGGGAGATAGTAAAGAAGTGGTTCTAGGTGTCTGTTGGGCAGACAGTTATCATGTTGAAGGCTCTTTGGGATCCAGGGGGAGTGCCAGGGAACATAGAAGGGAGCCAACACCACCAGCCAGGAGCTTCAGTGTTGTTAAATATATGTGAATACTCTGAAACAAACTGATGTGGAAACCAAGCTGTTATAATAAAATGATGACAAGTGCACAATAAGTGAAACTCAAAAACATAGGAGAAAGCTTGTAATTTGTATGTTATCTACATAAGCTCTTACACATGTCAATATGAAAACAGAGATGATTGCAGAACAGAAAAATGGACAAAAGGTACAAAGAAGCAATTATTGAAAAAGAAAACCAAGCTAGGCATCATGGCAAACACCTGTAATCCCAGTGACTTTGGAGGCTAAGACAGGAAGATTGCAAGTTCAAGGCCAGCTTTAGCAACTTAGCTAGGCCCTTAGCAACTTAGTGAGACCATGTCTCAAAAAATAAAAAGGACTGGGGATATAGCTCAAGTGGTACTGGGGATTGAACTCAGGGGCACTGGACCACTAAGCCACATCCGCAGCCCTATTTTGTATTTTATTTTGAGTTGCTTAGGGCCTCACCATTGTTGAGGCTAGCTTTGAACTCATGATCCTCCTGTCTCAGCCTCCTGAGCCACTGTGTTCACTGTGTGTTCTATCCCTAGTACAGAAAGAAAGAAAGAAAACCAAGCCAAGTGTGGTGGTATAGACCTGAAATCCTAGGGATTTAGGAGGCTGAGGCATCAGGATTACAAGTTTAAGGCTGGCCTCCACAATCAATGAGACCCTCTCTCAAAAAATAAAAAGGACTGGGGAGGGTAGCTCAGTGATTGAGTGCCACTGGGTTTAAGGGTTTAATCACCACTACCACAAAAGAAAAAAGAAAGAAGACAAGCAAATGGCCAGACTGAAGTAAAAATGGCAGATTTGTTAGTCCAGTGGAAAGTGTTTTATATAAGAGTTTTTAGAGTCTGGGGGCACTCATGCAGTTTTGTTGGGAGTGTCTAGTTTTCTGATTGTTTAAGCATCAAATGCACACCTTTTGAACCTTTATTGTTACTTTTAGAAGCTTATCCTAGGGATGTAATTAAACAGTAGTGCTCAGTTAAAACTTAAAAATGTTTATGATAATACAGAAAATAAAAATAAGTTTCATTAATAGACACTTGATCAGATAACTTTTTCCACATGGGGAGAACTGCACAGCAGTTATAAAGAATAGATAGCAGCCAGGTCAGTGGTGCACGCCTGTAATATCCCAGTGACTCAGGAGGCTGAGGCAGGAGGATCATGAGTTCAAAGCTAGCCTCAGCAATGGTGAGGCCCTAAGCAACTCAGTGATACCCTGTCTCTAAATAAAATACACAATAGGACTGGGGATGTGGCTTAGTGGTCGAGTGCCCCCGAGTTCAATCCCAGTACCAAAAAAAACAAAAAAAGGATAGATAGCAATACCTGGGCATGCCTACAGTATACAAGATTTTGTTTAGTGAAAAAAGTAAGAAGTAAATTAGATAGCAGATTATTCTATTTTAAGAGAAACAAACAATAGCCTTAAAACTTGGGATTAAGAATGTTTTGGGGAGGCTGTTAACTGCTACAGTAAGGATAGAGATTTGGGGTCTTTCATATTCTGTGCATTTCTGATACACCCCTCAC